CCATTCATCTCTTTTCGCTCCCAGAGGCTTCTTCCAGTTGTAGGACGCTACGCTGGGTTTCGATTGTTCTGTTTTTTTACCCTCTCTTGAGGGTGAGGTACAAGAGCTAAGTCCTGGTGCCATGTCTACCTGCCCAGGTTTTGATTTTGAGGATCAGGCTAGGTATGATAATGCAGAATTCCAGAGGAGCCTCCGCCTTCCCCGCGGCCCTTCTTCGGCAATCCAGCGCCGTTGCCAGCATCGTCCTCGGCTAACGAATGTTCCACATTACCCAGTGTTGTGATAAGATAGATTCCTTGATGTTCTGGGCGTTTGTATGCACAGATGCCGAAACTTCATGGAGCATTTCAACCAGTAAGGAGTACTTTGCCAAGGCAATCAAGAGATCTTTTCACGGCAAGGAACCTGCCGGGACAGGGGTTGAACTTGAGGGGGTGCTGAAAGTGTCTTTATCCGCGGCCATCAGTGAAGTGCAATTCAAATAACATTCCACGAGAAGGTCATGAGTTTGGGTTCGTTTGTGTTGTTCAAACATTCTCAGGTAGATGGTCGTGATCAGGGGCCAGTAGGATGCTATAAGTTTTCAGGCCCGAGGGTCAAGGCACGCCTACCAGAATTGGAAAAGCTACATCTGATCTGGCCGCTCTTACTTTGGGGTTAGCTTCTCTCAGCATGATTGGAGCTCTATGAAACTGGTGGCTGCTTGGACCTGAACCTGAACCTACCAAGCTGAGCCTCGCGGACCTCAAGTTCCAAGTGTCTCTAGAAGTCTCTGGTGCAGCAAACGAGCGTAGAACTGTACGGAGGCAGACAGCGTTTCAAGACAGAGCCCCAAGATCCTGAAGGGCCCCTTCTGCAGGTGGAGGAGGTCACACCACAGCGGCTTCCGCTGCCCTCTCCGGCAGGTTGGCTTCAAAGAGGGGACGTGGGAGGATGTTGTTTCGTGGAAGGTTCAAAGAGTTGTGGGCTGAGACTCAAGCTGAATACTTGCATCAGGGATCACCTAGGCTGTGCAAAGGGTGAGGAGGTGAGGTGGCTCACCAAGACATCGTTGAAGACGTTAAGAGTTCTTCACTGAGATTTGCACTCAAGATTCGCCAGCTTGTGCCTCTGACCTACTAAGATGTGGTATGATCAAATCCGGAAGCTTCTTCCCTTAGCTGTCAAAATGGGCTCTTCGTTGTTGTTGGAAGAAGAAGAAGCCATCCTTACGACCGCAAGCTTGTGGGAACTGTGGGCCGCTGGGACTTCAGGCTGAAAACTGGTTTGCAAAGAAGAGGTTGCAAAGCTTGACGCACAGTATCGATATAGGTGCTCTGATCCATTTCAGTAAGGCCAGGTCACGCATAGAAAGCGCCGTGCTGGATGGGTACGAGTGGTAGCCAAGTATTACCTAAGGTCATGGTTGGCAATCTTCCTGTACAGTCGGTCTGGACGTCTGGAATCTTCATAACAAGGACTTGGTGTAGAGACCACCTTCATGCATTCTGTTTGTACATTTTCCGTTCCATGGCGACTTAGGGGAGCTGATTTTCCCAACCCTCATTGGGTAGAACGTAGAGATTTATAGCTGTATTTCCACACCTTGCGGAGGCACAATTGTTGAGGAGTCCAACGCCGCCAGCTGAGAAGCCAGGGTTTTTGTTGATTTGTTTTATGTGGACGAGGCATGTATTAGGTCCATCATCTGTAGAAGTTGCGGTTTGTTTCCAGATCCTTCGTGCTACAAGTTTAATAGCTGGCTGGTCATGTAGTGTGTTCGAGTGAAGTATATAGTGGGGCCATCTTTGCTTGGGCATGCCTATATCAATTCTGTAGGCGTATGCAACCTGATTTGCTCCAAAGCAAGACTGCTCATGTGCCTGAGCTTATGTGCAATCGGTTCAGTTTTTCATGGAGTGTATACAAACAGGTCTCACACTATGCACGTACGATTGGGTGAATTTCCAAGAAGGGCACCTTCTCTGCAGGCGACAAGTCCCGTTTGAACATTGTAACTATGACCAATTTCTGCGACATCTACGTGGATGACACGATCAACCCATGAACGCTCATGCTCGAGCTTTAAGCTTGCAACTTGTACACACGCAGCAAAACCTGAAGTCGTCTCCGCAACTTCCCAAACATTGCTAAACGCGTTTGGCATACAGTCGTCTCCGAAAGGGGGCTTCAGTTTCCCTCGGATCCCTATACATCCGCTTGGAACCGTATCTTTGCTTGTCAGCGTGAGCCGCCTGAAGTGAAATCCCATTCAGATTTGCCCCCCTGGACACGTCCAAGGCGCGTACACCCTCAAGGCCAGCGAGTGGAGATGCGGAGGCGATGAATCTAGGGTTGTTGTCTTGATGGGTACTTGAAGGAATTGAGTATTCGGGCATCCCAACAATAATCCGGCTGGATTGAGGGAGCTGAAGTCTCGGAGGCCCAACAGTCCCGCATCCTTTGATTTGGGAAGAGGATTGCTGGTATTGTCACAGAACGAGCTTTTGCCAGTGTGTTTTTTTTTGTTACCGCCGGACGGGCTTGGGGATTTAGGCCTGCAGGTGCAGATCTTGAGGCATGGAATCCAATGCTTGGGACGATGAAGAGGGATCCTGACTTTGGCAAGGCTGTACAATGTGTGTACTGAAAAGAATAAGCGCTAGAGGAAAGTTAATCAGATACGGAAGAAATCTCGGAAATCGGCCGGCAACAACTTCCGAAAAGTGGTTCC